GCTCTGTCGTGCGGTGCAAAGGGGTTCCTTTCCTTAACTGGTGTGTGACTGGTTGTCGTGTGGGAGCTGTGTATATTCGTCTGATCACGAACCCCAACTCTCTTTGAGTGCAGACTCATGGTGGCGTTGCCTGACCCAGTTTAAAGCAGACACCAGACACCAGACTCCAGAGAATTATTCACACATTGACAATTGCCTCAGCATGGGCGTCAAGGAAATCTACTTTAGAATAATTGCATTTTAGTCTGTCTATTAGATTTGTCTATTAAATCCCCCAAAATATGTGCCCCCACTTATTCTTATTGCCATATTTCCAGGGCAGAATACTGGCTTTTCTTCCTTTCCTGCAAACGTGCAAAATGCAGACTTTTCCTATTCCAACTACACATTTTTGTGTGTTTTTCTGGGCAGCTTACTGCTTGTACACTTAAATGAATAGTCATTTGGATTTCAAACAGACTCGTATTTATGGTAGCAGCTCTATTAAAGCGTACTTGTGCTTGAGTTGCCTCATGGAACACCTCATTTCGATTCAATCTCAATCGAGACATCACCAAAACTGCTGCCCCTGTTGCACTTGCTTGCTGTTTATGGCGGCTAACAGCGGCTCTCGCTTTAAATTGGGTCAAGTCTGAACGCCGCACTGGTTGAATGCGAGAACATAAAATAAAATTAGATTGGCTTTTGTTTAACAAATTCTCTGTGAGTGTAAAAGGCATACCTAATTCGTGGCAAAGGATACAACATGCAGATGGAAAGTCAGGAAAATATATTTCCTGGCACTGACAGCTGACATAGCTGATATATTCATTAGCTCTCCTCTTTTCGATGGAAATATTAATTCAAATTGCACAAAGTGTAAATATAATAATTGGGCTGATGGGCAGAAATGATTGCCAATTAAATTGCCTGGCATTGATATTTATGCACAAGTGCAAGCTAGAATTTCCAATTATTGTGCTACTAATATTTGGTTTTCGAAATTAGATTTGTTACATTTATATGTATAGGCATCGCCAAATACAAGAACAACTGACATGCGGATAGGGGACCCGTCTTTGTTTGCTAGTGCAGGCCACAACAAATATGTGTGTTCCATGGTCGGAGTACTGCGAATATGTCACGTTGCTCAAACAACGTCGAATTCGATCGTTTTATCCCCATTTGAAAGTGGCAATGAAGTCGCGCACTCTACGAGTAGTGCAATGCCTTTAAAAGGAATGTGGGGAAATATGCTGCCCCGAGTGGTGTGACTGGAGACCCGACTATGATGCTGAGACCCCGAACCTGCTACCCACTGGCAAGAAGACATTAAAGTGTTAATGTTCCTTTTAAAATGAGAAATGTTAAATCATTGCTCTGGTCTCTGACAAATGGCTGTCAGTTGGGCTTAGGCGGCACGCAGCTCCTTAATCGCTTAAGTAGTTGATGCTCGGAGTCAAATCCTCTGACAGAAGACATCTGGCAACCCTTTGGAGCCGACGCGAAATGTGGGCTAAAAGAATTAGCCGGGTAGCCAAATGGACAAACATTCTGTTTTATTACTAAACAGTTTGCCTTATTCGGCACACAGCCACTACACATCCACCACACAGCCACCCCACAGCCCCCTATAGCCCCATAGCCACTTTGCATTTTTCCCCCATTTCCCGACTTTCTTTTTTTGTAGATTTCCTGCTTGTCGGCTAGTTGCCACTAGTGTGTTTTTGGGCATTCCAGTGGGCGGACAGTAATGTAATACAATGCGGATCAGCACGCTTGACTTGCTCAACTTTTGCTTCTGTGTGTTTCTGACACTTTGCTGCCTCCGTATCTGCCTGCTCTTCCCCTGCTCTTCGGTATCGTCCTGCTCCCATCCCGGGTCTTTGCCTTGTTAATCCGCTTTGATGCGTATCCTGGCCGTATATACCATGTTTTTCCTTTAGTAGTTGTTGGTGTGTGTGTGCCCGGCTACGTCTCGACGGCAGGCAGGCAGGCAGGCAGGCAGGCCGGCTACCCAGATGACCTCCTGTCATCTGCCGATGAACGGCCGGATACGGCCGCAGACACACTACTGGCATCAGTCAGTCAGTCAGCAGGATGTGGGGGCGAAAAAAAGTTTTGTTTTTGCTCCGTATACCGTCTACGATACGTGGATAAAAACGATTTATATCAATATCAGGCAATATGTCCTGCAGTGGCCCAGGACATCACCAAATGCCACGTATGTACATACATTGCGTGACATGCTGATGTGCTTGATGTCTGGTCATTAGGTTTAGGTCCATGTCCTGTCCACGTCCATGTCCTGTCCACGTCCATGTCACGTCCCCGTCCCCGTCTTGTACGCGCTCTCTGCACTAGCCCTTAAGCTGGCGATATGTTCCGATATGTTTTATAGCTGCGGCGCTTTTTTTGCTCAGCATCTTGTAATTGAGGTCGTGCAATAAAATTTCTAGGCACTTTTGTTTTGATGACCTCTGTTGACTTTTCGACTGGTGCGAACGAATTGCCTCTGCCCCCAGATATGGCTACTTTTTAGTACAAGCTTTGCCATATCTTTTAGTATTGATGTAATGCGGATATACTCGTGTTTGCCAAGAAATAAAAAGGCTTCAAAGGCTTAAAGATGGGAATATTTTCATCAACGCAAACTCAGCTGAGGGAAGAACATTCTGATGCTCCTCGTTCCTCCTGTGACATTCACTTGAATGCAGTGCACTTTGAGGCTGCCGAAGCAAACCGTTTTAATATGTCTTGAAGGGTTTCTCGGAGTCTCAGCTGAATAGCATCGATCAGCACTGGGCTGAGCTGGGCTGGGCTTGGAGGGGGGAATTGGCGCCAGTGCCATTAAAGCGCACATTTAATTCCGGCCGGATAGTATAAAGCGTAGAACAAGTTGTAAAAAAACGCATTTTATTGAAGCAATTGAAACGCGAATGGGCGTTGAATTGAGCAATGAAAAGAGTACCCGGGAAAACCCATTCGCCAGTGAATAGGCAATGGGAGCAGCAGGACAGGGAGGGCAGGGCAGGGCAGGGCCCGCAGCCAAGACGGAATCACAGTCCTCCCGCAATCGAAATTGGCGGAGCAATTGCCCCATTGGAGCCTGCAGCCTGTAGCCTGTAGCCTGTAGCCGTTAAGCGGATGCGGCAGTGTCAACAATTATTGAGATACGTTTTTTACAGTTGGGGCCCCCGTAGCAATTTTGTGACTCAAAGCGAAGATGGAACTCGCTCGGAATGGGTTGTTAAACGGCTGCTTTTGATGTTGGCAATGGGAATTTCATGGCCCAATTAATAAGAACAGAACAGGGCTCATAAATCAGCAAAGCGACGCTGAAACTTGGCCCAGCACAGAAGTGGGCGGACTATCTGCCACGGGCCAGCATCTGATGGCTTCGAAACTTTTGACTCTGGCTTCGCCCCTTATCAGGTCATGGCCTGCAGTAGTCTGCTGGGGGTCAACAGGTGACACTTTGTATTTGTCGCTGATAATCTCGGCAGAAGTCTGCTGCACCTGTCCAGGACGAGAGCCTGTCCAGGGCGAGTATCGTGCGACTGCGGGGCTCTCGACTGCTGGCTCCCATCGGGCTCTCGACTGGGTTCATTGAATTAAAGTCTTAATTGCCACAATAAATTCGTGCAAATTCTGATCCCCAGCTGAACAAAGTTCCCACAAGTTCTGTAAAAATTTCTGTCGTAATTGGCGTAATTGCCATGCCCCACGTTTCGCTCTTTCACTCTTTCCGCGCCCCTTGCCGCTGCTGGACTCTTCCATTATGCTGCTGCTGTTGGGCGTTTTGTTATGCTAATTGTTGGCATTGTTGCCTTTCACACTTGGCGCCTTAAACTTGACCCATAAATCGCTGTAGTCCATCCGTTCCACGGCCCGCCCGTGACAAATGACCTCCGACGACTGTCATCGGATCCGCCAGCTGATGCTGATGCGACGACTCCTTTGGGCCGTGGAATTAGCTCTTTGGTTCCTGCGGCTGTGAACTTCCACAAAAAAGCAACCGTCACACACACACACACATTTGTCATCCATCGCACCTGGCATGCGGTTGCCAGGGGAACTCTAATCATGATTAATTTGCATCAATTGCCCCAGCAGCTATTTTTAGTCGAGCGGCAGTCAGAGCCAGCCAGCGGCTGCACCTCGCCGCCTTAATCGTTTCATGGAGCGCTTTTTCACTCTGCCGCAAAAGAACAATTAAGTCAAGAACATTTCTGTCAAGTGAAAGCTCTGGGCCAGAGCGTGAAGAATGTCTGGCAATCGTTCAGCTTGAAAAGAATAATCACAGAACACATTGCGGTGGATACAAATGCACATGACAATTGCCTCACTTATGTCAAGAATAAATTCTATCTATAAATAAATTGTGGCTTCTATAAGTTTTACGAGTGAAGCAGGAACCCCAAAAGAAGCCGTCACAGGCACCCACCTCGACGTGGAATTCGATTGCTTCGAGCAGCTATCTAAAAATAGTTAAAGGGTTATAAGAGGCTCAGCAACTCATCCAAACAGACAAATGTGAGACACAAACGAAGGGAAGGGATGCAAAAATGTTTATGGAATACACAGGTTTTTGTGTTCGTTTTTTTTCTTGTACAAAACAGTAAAAAGTTTTCTCTCGAGTGTGCTCAGGAAAAAAGGGGCCCATGAGGGCCCAAAGGTATTGTAAAACTATGTTTAATTTTATATGAATGAGCGGTTGGGCCCACACGCACAAACAAAAACAAATGCCCACTCCCCACCCCTTCGTTTTGTGACCCGTCCCACTTACTTATTCAGCAAATTCTCTGAGCCTGGCTGGCTTGGAAACAGGAATAGGAATTTTGGATGAGATTTTTATTTCTGTTTAATTTATGTGAATCTTTTCTCGCTTCTTTCTCTTTGCAGATTTCGAGTAGCTTTAAGCTTGAGAGCGTCGCGGAGAGAGCGGGAGAGAGAGAGAGAGAGTTCTGTTTCACTTTATTCGCCAGTAACGGAAGTTCTGATTTTTCTTTGCCCCACAGACCGACGAAAAGGACACACAAGACGGCTTATATACACAATTAGCCACAGTGAATGGGTCCAGAGCCGGATACGACGATTGAATACGAAGAGCTCCAACCGACCGACCAGCACACACGGAAACCGCAGCAGTCCTGCCCGCACAGAGAAGAAAACACTCCCCTAGGCGAGGACACAGACCCACAACCAGACCCGCGCCCCACAAACAAACACACGACACACGCCATGTCGGACACAACCTCTTTTGAGCTGGGATCGGCCTCCGACCGACCCCCGAATAGGTTCCAAGTAAATCCGGTGAACGGCAATAGTCGCAAGGCACAGGCCCCAACGGGGCCAGACGCTACCGGGGACAGCGAGGGACCCCACGAAGTCTACCGCCGGCTGACAAACATCGATGGGGAACTGCTCGAGGACGACGCCTTCGATGCGACCCAAATGCTGAACAAACACCAGCCTAGGCAACAGAGGTAAGTGCGGGGCGGGGGGCTACAGGGTTGGATTCTAGATCTCGGGTGCGGTTTTTGGGGACACGACCTTTTGCCCAGTGTGCGTCCATTGTGGGAAAGAATGGAAATTTGCTTGAGTTTTTCCATTTTTATTTTCATTTTCATTTTCTGGTAATTGTTTAGTGTTCCATCAAACGAGGTTTGCTTTTGTCGCCTCCTGTGTTTTGTCCGCGCTTAATTATGGCGTTAACATTCCGCACTCGTTCACGGAAGCAGCCCCGGAAGGGGAAGATGTCCGGAATGCTGGGGCAAAGCAAATCCTTCAGAAGTTATCGCCAGCAATAGCATACCTTTTGGGGGCAAAGCATTCAAATGAATCATCGCTCGCAAGGCGCTCTTTCCCCTGCTATTCCATCTGCAGAGGAATGAGTAGATTTTTGAGTATTCAGATCGTAACTGGCCATTGCCAAGACCTCCGAATCTCTTCCTTGTGGGAGCATCTCGGTCTTTTAATCATTCACGCCACATTTGCTGCAACAGTAATTTGTAGGCCCTGTTGCCCATCACTCAAAATTGATTAAATTTTGTGGAATTCTGTCGAACTTAATGCCTGGGAGTGGCCAGCAACCGTGAACAGCAACGCCTTGGCGCATCTATCAAGTTACCCGAGAGTTGGACGAACTCTGGCACCCCAACAGGACAAGAAGTCGGGCAGGTTCAACACTCTCCTCTCGCTTGTCGACGAGGGCCAAAGAACCAAAGAACCAAAGAAGCAAAGGAACAAAGTAGCCCGTTGCAGCGCAGCGCCGATTGAGGCAATGCCACGACGAATCACAGACTTTTTCTAATAACAATCATTTACGCCTGTGCTCCCATCGGCAGGCAGGCAGGCAGGAGGCAGGCAGGAGGCAGGCAGGAGGCAGGCAATTTGCATACACATCATGGACTTATGTGTCGTTGTAGTAGTTGAGTATTGTAGGGGGCAGGGGCAGGGGCAGGGTCCTATGTATATAAAATGTTAATTTTAATGTTTGGCCCCGTGACGTCACCTGTCGGTGTGGAATGTGTCTTGGAGAGTCGCGGGTCGAGAGTCTATGTTAATGAGGCTTATGATAATACTTATTATAGCCCCGTTTATTGCCTACTTGGAGGCACTCGTCACGAAATGCGTTCCGCGGAGATGAGCGCGCTTCTCCCACTGCAGGCTGGCTGGTCGCGTGGGCAACCCGATCTCCACCCTCCACCTCAGTCCTTCCTCCTTCCTTCTGTGTTCAAGGTTTCCTTCTACGTGTACACGTAGAAGTGCCTTTAAGTCGGATTAAATTGGCAGCCATCGCGGCAGGGGGGTCGATGATTAATTTAATGCTAAGCTCACTGAAGGATGCGCTCGAATTTTAAACAAGTGATTTGTGTTTCCCGATGGATAATTAATTTCTGATGTGTATCCATTGATAGTGTATCCATCATAGAGCAGCCTGGGAGAAGTCGAAGAGTCAGACAGGCACACATGAGCAGGCAGGCAGAACCATAAACTGTTTCACTGACAAACCAACAAACCAACGCCCAACACATATCATACAAATATCTTGGGGCCATTGAGCAGAGCCAATGGCCGATGGGATACACTTGTGTGCACAGAGCCAGCACTCGAGCACAGGATGCTTGTCACTTGGCTCTGGCTCTGGCTTCATTTTACGTGTAGGCAGTAGGCACACAAGCAGAATTTATAAAGAGTTCTGTGAAAAATGGGCTGCCTGCTATTGACGCTTCTAATCAGTGGGGTGCCGTGCCAGACACTGACAATCGGAGAGCCATGCAGTCGGCCAAAGAATACCCAGAGCCAAGAGCAGGGGGTGGGGTGCTGTCTGGGTGCGTGAGTGTCCCTGTGCGTCCCTGTGCCCCGGGGTCAGCTGCAGCACATTTTTGGCACAATGAGCAGCAATCAAAAACTGCAACTTTCAACAGGCTCTTGGGGGAGGGAGGGCGAGAACAGAACAGAATTGGATTCAATTGAATTGAAATGAGCTATTTGATTTTGGTTTTAAATTGGGAAGCCTTTCAGTCGATTGGCTTTTGCTGAGACTTTACACAGTTTAAGGAAATATCAGCGCACTTTAAGCTGGATCCATGGCAGCCTTTTAGTGCTTACAAAGGGCACTTGCTAAAACTCTTCATTGTTTTAATTGGCAGGCAATCCATCAAGAGCAGCTTTCGCGACAAGGATAAGCCGTCCCGCTTCAGGGATCTGCAGACGACGACACGCTTCCAAGTGGACCCCCGGAGCGGCGATTCGGACGAGTCCAACGATTCGCAGGAGGAGCGCGAGCTGCTGGACAGCGAAATCTACGACACGAAATATGGTAAAAGTTTTCGGTCAGTTTTCCATTGCCACTTGCCACTGACGACCGTCGTGGCGGGCTCCCCCCCTCTGCTGGTCGCCTTTCCAATCCCCAAACTCCGCTGCATACCCACAGGCACTTCACGCGCGAGGCCCTGCCCCGTCTGGACAACTACCGGAACATGATGTCCATCCAGGCGGCCTACCGTCCCACCCTCGACGAACTGCACAACGCAACGCTGACGGGCAAGGTGAGTGCTCTCTCTTTTTAGGGTGGATGAGGTGCTCCCTTGGGTCGGCTGGGCTCCATTCCGCGCATTCGATTTAAATGAATATTAACGCCGCAGCTATAAACCCCGCCCTGTGGGCCCCCAAGAGCCACAAATTACAATTTTGCAGGCGCCATAAAATAACAATACGCATGCTTTACGAGTCGCAAATTTAAATTTATATTTATACGCCCCCGACCCCGCCAATCCTGCGCAAATTCAATACTACCGGACCCGAACTCGGCTCCGGATCCGGCCCTCTTCCAATCGATGCTGTCCATGTCCGCTTGTATGCGTGTGTGGGCATGCGGTGGCGCCTCCGTGGCATCCGTGCTCGGAGCGTGTCGTACAAGTACCGCAAAAGCCAGAACAGAGCCCGCAGGGTCGTTAGCACCCCTCGAAGAAATCCCAGGGGATTCGCTTGTCCGTTGCAGCAATTGCGGCGCGCAGCAGAGCCAACAAAAACGAATGCAGTGGACCAGACGCGTGTCCTAACTGAATTTTGTGGCGGCAGCTGAAGACGATGCTCCCGTCGTCGTCTCATGGTGCCTCCTTCCTTCTCAGACGACAGGGAAAGGCCGCTGACTTTTCAGCTGACTTTCGTGAGTCACTTGAGTGAGTTTTCAGGGCAGGTTGGGGGAATGCAATGACACCAATTGGCTCTAATTGATTTCCACACTTCGCCCCAATGATTGCTGACAATTGAAGGCGTAACGGCGTAGAGGCTAAACGACTGGCAATGCAATGACTGACTACTACTCGTATACTCGTATAAATTAAATTGTTTTTGGGGCTGATTCGGTCGTTCGATTGGGCAATTAATGCGTTGCACAACAGAAACATCTCCCTGCAGCTCCCTGCAGCTCCATGTAGCTCCATGTAGCTGCGGCAACACCCTCTCAACTAATTAAGTATAGTTAATGAAAGAATATACCCAATAACAGTCCAGCTTTAAAAACAATAAGCAATTGAGACGGGTTGTCGGGTTGCGTTCAAAGCCAAAGGTTTGAAAGTTCAATTGGTTTAACTGATGCGGCGGGGCTGGTCTCGGTGGCGTATGATTAATTTATTAAGAGTTTCATCATCGGGCTGCGCTCGGGTGCGCTGCCAGGTCAGATTCCTGGCTATTGAAATCATCTGCAGCCACGACGATGGCTACTGATACTGCGGTTATCGCAGAGTTTGCTCAAAGGAATGCAAATCCGCTTCAAATTGCGAGAATCTCTCCATCGCTTACCCAAATATTTATCTGCATGGGCGAGGAAAATATTTACCCATCCCCCTCTGGCAGGCAGGCATGTTGTCGGAGCATGCAGATAATCATTTATCAACACTAGACAGCTTTATTGAAATTTGCAAACGGTCGAGCAGCCGAGCAGCCGAGCAACCGAGCAACCGAGCCCAAACCCTCTCCTACCACGACCCACCATTGCTGTACCTGCCTCACGCCCCCCACATGGCGCACACCCACACACACACACACACACATTACATTTCCATTTCCATCCATACCCATCCGCAGAACACTCACAGCTTGACGCGGAATCAGGATCCCGAGTCGGGCGCCATGAATGGCATCTTGAAATTCGGATGGATCAAAGGAGTGCTCATACGCTGCCTCCTGAACATCTGGGGCGTGATGCTCTTCCTGCGCCTCAGCTGGGTGGTGGGACAGGCGGGCATCATTGAGGGCTTCGTATTAATTTTGACAACGACCGCTGTCACGACCATCACGGCCTTGTCGATGTCGGCGATAAGCACTAATGGCGTCATCAAAGGAGGTAAGTCCCATCTGCCATCTGCCATTGCCATCTCGGGGCTATTATAAATGGTCTTAATGCACTCCACCTCCCCCTTCCTTGGCTAGGTGGCACCTATTACATGATATCCCGATCCCTGGGCCCGGAGTTTGGCGGCTCTATTGGCCTAATTTTCTCGCTGGCAAACGCCGTGGCCTGTGCCATGTACGTGGTTGGCTTCTGCGAGTCAATGTTGGATTTGATGAGGGACCTCGGCTGGAAAATCATCGACGCCGACGTGCAGGATATGCGCATCATCGGCTGCGTCACCATACTGCTGCTCCTGATCATCGTCGTCGTCGGCATGGAGTGGGAGGCCAAGGTTTGTATGATTGATTTATAGCCAAATGAGCTCAAACGATCGCCCGTTGAACCCTCTCCACTTCACACTTCACACTTAACACTTGTCATCCAGGCACAAATCGGACTCTTGATCATCCTGCTGGTGGCCATCGCCGACTTTGTCATCGGCAGCTTCATTGGTCCCAAGAGCGTGCAGGACCTGGCCAAGGGCTTTATCGGCTACAATGGTGAGTCCCTTACTATTAAGTATGTGTATGATGACCTTGGAGGTCTAACGGAATGCGGCTCCCCACTGCCACAGGCACCACCTTCAGCACCAACCTGTTTGCGGACTATCGCGAGCATAAGGGGGTGGAGCATGACTTCTTCTCGGTCTTTGCCATCTTCTTTCCCGCCGCAACTGGAATACTGGCGGGCGCCAACATATCGGGTGACCTGAAGGTACGTCCCCTCCCACTCCTAGCACCTTTTGGTCAGCCACACACTGCACCTCCCACCTTGCATCTCATCTCCTTCCAGGACCCTCAAAAATCCATTCCAAAGGGCACAATCCTCGCGATCGTCATCACCACCGCCACCTACCTGATTATGGTCCTGCAGTGCGGTGGTGCAGTGGTCCGTGAAGCCACCGGAAATATTACCGATGCGATCAATGGCTCCTTTGCGTTCCTCGACTGTGCGGATGGTAGATGCAACACATTGGACTTAAATGGGAGCCTTCAGTTTTCAGCTAATCCTTTGCCCTTACAGGTGGCTGCCATTTCGGACTGCATCACTCGTTCCAGGTGATTGAGCTGGTGTCCGGCTTCGGGCCGCTCATCTATGCAGGCTGCTTTGCTGCCACACTGTCCTCGGCCCTCGCCAGCCTGGTCTCGGCCCCGAAGGTGTTTCAGGTAAGGCAGAGCAACGCCACGCGCGCTTTTAGGGCAGTTCTGACTTTTCTGACTGACTGCTATTGTACTTTGCAGGCACTCTGCAAGGATGAGCTCTACCCGAAGATCGTGTGGTTCGCCAAGGGCTTCGGCAAAAATAATGAGCCCGTGCGGGGCTACGTGCTGACTTTTGTCATTGCCTCAGCGTAAGTGCAGCATGCATCTAGAATCTAGATGGTCCCAGCCCAGTCTTCTCACTCTTTCTGTTCCCTTGCAGCTTCATTTTGATTGGAGAGCTGAATCTGATTGCTCCGCTCATCTCGAACTTCTTCCTGGCCGCCTACATGCTGATCAACTTCAGCACCTTCCACGCCAGTCTGGCCAAGCCAGTGGGCTGGCGTCCAACCTTCAAGGTACTCCCACCACTCGCCCGTCTTTCGTTTCATATGATTACAGTCCCCCATTGTTTTGAGCAGTATTACAACATGTGGCTGAGTCTGCTGGGCGCCATACTGTGTGTGGCCGTCATGTTCCTCATCTCGTGGGCCACCGCACTTATCACATTTTCCGTGGTGCTGGCTTTGTACTTAATCGTGGCCTACCGGAAGCCGGACGTCAACTGGGGCTCCACCACGCAGGCGCAGACCTACAAGAACGCCCTGATGTCGGTGCAGCAGCTGAACAACGTGGAGGAGCACGTGAAGAACTACCGACCGCAGATCCTGGTGCTCTCCGGACTGCCCAACACGAGGCCGGTGCTGGTCGATCTCGCCTACATGCTGACCAAGAACCTCTCGCTGCTCGTCTGCGGCCATGTGCTGCGCGGCTCCAGCTCCCAGAAGTATCGCACCTACCTGCAGGAGCGGGCCGCCAACTGGTTCCGCAAGCATCGCGTCAAGGGCTTCTACGCCCTCGTGGATGGGGAGGACTTCGAAGCGGGGACGCGCGCCCTCATGCAGGCCACCGGCATTGGCAAGCTGAAGCCCAACATCCTGCTGCTGGGCTACAAGACCGACTGGCAGACGTGCGAGCACAAGGAGCTCGACCAATACTTCAATGTGATGCACAAGGTGGGTTTTCGTTTCCGATTCCGTTTCCGTTTCGGGTTAGCCAATGAATGACGTTTCCTTTCCCCCACAGGCCCTGGACATGTACCTCTCTGTAGCCATTCTTCGTGTGCCCCAGGGTCTGGACTGTTCACAGCTGCTGGGCTCGCAGGATGGCTGGAAGACCGTGTCAGAAGTGCCGCGTACGTTGCAGCCCAACGAGAGCTCTGGGGACCTGCAGGCAGTCGACAGCAGCGCCGGGAATGGCCTGGGCGGCAGCATTGACTCCCTGAGTCGCAATGTGTCGGTGTCACAAGGTGAGAAATGATACGAATCAGCTGCTCGTTGCAGGAGGAGTCTGCAGTATCCCATGAATAATGAACAATGCTGTCTTCGATTATATCTTGCATGTGTACTCCCCACACAAAAACCCGCACCTGCCTAACCCACACCTTCAATATGCCACATGCAATTTGCACCTGCTATCAACAACGTCCACTTTTGCACCACAATTGTAATCCCCACAGAGGACGGCGGTCGCCCTGCCCTGCTCCATGCCGAGAACAGCCTGAAGATAGTCAAATGTAAGTAGCATGTCCCAGTGGAGGGTTAATCAAAGTCACAAAACTCTCCTCCTCCTCCTCCCCACACACAAAAATCTGTTAATCGGTGCACTTCGTAACCGTACACCTGTGCGTATACGTGCGTATCGTGTTCGGCTGTCCGTTGGGATTTTGCAGTGCGTTTTAGGCAGAGTCTGCGTAGAATGCGCTCCTGGCCAGGTGCAGGTGAAGTTGTGTTTAAGCTAAGATTTACGTGTCCTAAAGTGCTTGAATGGAATGTGAAGTTGTTGTAGGCTGAGTAGGTAAATATACGAATACGAATGATGCCACCCCTGCCACACACTCGACGCTCTCCACCCACCCAGAAACCCAAACACCGTGCATGCGCCTTGCCCTTTGTTTTCTTGCCCTTTTGCCTGTTCTGCTCTGCATGACGCCTCGATGCTTGAAACCTTTGGTTGTCCCAATTAAGCCATAAACTTTCCAACAAATTAACGACACTCAGCATCGAAACTAATCCCAAGCTGCCACGGGACCCACACGAGGTGCTAATGGCCACGGGCCCTGCTCTTCGTAGGCCTTCCGAACCCATCGATGGCTCCACAGCTGTGCATGGCCAACCTTTTCGACAAAATCTGATGCCACAAAATTAATGCAATGTTCGTAAATTTAAATTTCAAATTTTAAAATGTCCAGCAGGGATGTCCGGGTGTGCGGCTGCCAGAAGCATGTGGAGGGGCCACAGGAAGGGGACTGCAAATCCCGCCGGCTCATACTCCCCTACATGGCCGTGGCACGTGCCGCTTTGCAAAACAAATAAAGTTGATTTCAATATGCACACTGTCTGCTCTGTCTGCCCTGTCGATAAAGCAGGGAAAGTGGATATTGAAAAGCGGCAACAGAGCTGCTCCTATCTTGCCTCTTGTCGTCTGTGCATGTCCCGAATGAAAAGAAATGAAATTAAATTTTGTTGCGCTGTATCCAGCGTATCCTTTTGCCTTGCCGTTCTTGCCTAGACTCTAAGCGTTCTTCGTGTCTGTAGCACATTACTGATGCACCCCCTTTCGCCACCCAAACAGCCTCCAGCACCAGCGACCTCTCGTTTATAGCCAGCAATCAGGCTAAGGATGTGTCCGGCTCCCCAGATCCGCTCGAGGCCAAGGCGGCCAATGTGGTGGTAAGTAAAATCGGAAAACGCATTATGCTAATTATTAACGGCGTGCCACTTGCCACTGTCACACTTGCACCCAACAGCCGAGCACCCTGCGGAAGTCCAAGCTGAAGCACGACGATCCAGCCTCTCTTTACAGGGGCCCTGGTGGCGTGGAGCTGCCCAAGGAGATCCTCACCGACCTCACCCAGTTCACGAGAAAGCGCAGCCATGCCGTCATCGATGTCTGGTGGCTGTACGACGACGGCGGCCTCACGCTCCTGCTGCCCTACATCATCAGCACGCGACACACCTGGCAATCATGCAAATTGAGGTAAGCACTGGCAGGACCGACCACCGGGCTTACGCGCAACTCCCCGTCATTTCTGTTTGCTTTTTTTGCCAGTAATTTTATCCATTTGCTTGTAAGCAAAACATGTGTCTGCGGGTTCCGGCAGTTATCTCTTTTCCTCTGGGAACGCAAATGAATTCCCTGCACTGCTCAGAGTTCTTTTTTTGCAGCGGCCACAAATGTTGCTGATTGTGCCAAAGCCAGGGACATCGTCAGCTTCCTGTTCCTTTCCTTAATTTAAAGTGCAACTACTCGTAGCTTTGGCGCAGTTCAAGTTCCAGTTCAAGGCGCCCCAATGCGCTTATGAACAGAAACAGAATTACAGCACCCAAATCCTCACATATTCAATGCAAAATTTGACTAAAACTCGTTAAGTGTGGAAAATAAATCCCTGGACACTTTGAGGAGGGGCAAATATGGGGGGTATAAATTAATTAAAAAGCAGCGGCAAGCCCGCTTTCCGTTGCCAAGGAACTCACATTTCATGATGCATGCATCAAAGGGTTTGTTTTGGGTTATGCAAGAATGCGGTTCATGTGGATGTGCCTGGTGCAAAGTTCACTTTCACTTCTAAATGGAAATTTTAATTACTGAAACTTCACATTAATGTGCACCCCCACAGGGTGTACGCGCTGGCAAACAAAAACTCGGAGCTGGAGTTCGAGCAACGTTCCATGGCCAGTCTGCTGTCCAAGTTTCGCATTGACTACTCTGACCTGACGCTGATACCGGACATAACCAAGAAGCCCCTGGAATCCTCCACGCAGTTCTTCAATGAGTTAATTAAGGACTTTGTGGTGAGCGAGAAGGAGACAGAGAACGGCAACAGCAGCAGGGCGACCCTCAACGAGGACGAGAGTGAGTCACAGCCACAGTGTAAAATTCTGCCTGCAGTTATAATCAATCCCTGTTCACAGCCCTCATAAGTGACGATGATCTGCTGGCCGTTCAGGACAAGACCAATCGATATCTTCGTCTACGCGAGTACCTGCGGGAGCAGTCGACAAAGTCGGACCTGGTGGTCATGACGCTGCCCATGCCCCGAAAGAACATTGTCTCCGCCCCCCTCTACATGGCCTGGCTGGAGAGTCTCAGTCGCGACATGCCCCCATTTCTGTTTGTGCGCGGCAACCAGACGAGCGTGCTGACGTTCTACTCGTAGACCAGAACCAACCAGCGTTAACGGATTCTATTGTATTTTACTTACACTTACAAACACTCACACTCACACTCACTTTTATTGTTAGCCAATACGAGTATTTTATCCTTAGCTGTACCACCTATGTACATACATTTAGGATCGGAGCGGAGTGGAGCGGAGTGGAGTGGAGTGGAGGTGGTCCTCCCCTCCTTCTCCTTGGAGCGCACAGACGACACTCACTGCACCCGCGGACGGACACGGTAATCGCCTTACAGCCCCAAACCCGATATAGATATACTTTAAAGCGTCTGTGCGCAGTCCGTGTTGCCTTTCCACTTCCACAGAAATGATTGTCCCTGCAATCGAGTTTAAATTGTTTTTAAATACAGTGCAAGTAATTTTTAAAGTCACTTTTTTTGTTCAACATAAGCTCTGATTATTCTGCTCTGAATAACTGCGGTTTTCGCTCCATTAACTTTGAGCTGTTTTTTTTTTGTGTGGCGATAAGAATTAATTAACTTTCAACAATAACAAATTTTTTAATAGTCTTCAGGTTGGATAGTGGGCAGAATCGATACCAGGTGCAATTAAATTTCAATCTTGTATCCAAATGAAGTCCAATGAAGAGAGGAGAAGCAATAAGGGGAAGCTTCGACCACAATCTAAAAGACATATTTGCACTTATACTTAAGTGCCATCCAAATGGCTATTATTAAGCAGGTTAAAATGGAAATTTCATTTATTTTTCATTGCTGTTAAAGCTCAGGCCAGCCTAATAGGAATCAGTGAGCGGAACTGCGTTTGGAAGTGCTCTTTGGTGCCGGCCTTCCTTATTTCTTGAACATTTTCTGACCAGTAAACTCCCAGGGTCCGCGCTTTGACAAACTGTAATAAAAGCATTATTTTTGCATAAATTAACGCAGTAAAAACAGAAAACAGACAGATGGCCATGGCACAGAAATATAAACAAATTTAAATTCAAAATTCTTCTTCTTGGAATTGACCAAAGGAAAAACATTAAAAAAAATCTGTTGCAAATTTCATGATGCCGCTTGAAAGGGTCAGCGCCGAGACTGGTTTGCCCTTCGGACCAGTCGGACCATAGTCTTATTACTACTTTTCAGTAGTTCAATAATATATAAATATTTAGCCTGCCGCTTTAATAAATGGAAAAACAAAGAACAGATATTGTACTGCATAAGTTCAAACATTTATAAAAACTTTACAACTTGGATAAATGCATTGTGAATTTATTTATGTGAATTATTTGGTATTGTTTCGTCTCATCCCAAATGGCGTGCAGTTGTGGTTGATAATTTGCATTTAAATCGAGTGGAGCGTTTAATTTGAATGGCACTTCAGTTGGGGCATTAATATTAATACGCTTGAGGGACAGTAAAAGCCAACAAATATAAACAGCAGGATCATGGCATAGGCATCCTGCGACTGGGTAGTCCTGCAATCCGCCCAGCCTCTGTTATCCGTCAGAGCTTTCGATTAACTTTTATCATCTGGTGGCCTTAAAGGAGTATCTGCGACTCAACTTTAAGTACACTTCACGGCAGTCAAACGGCAATTCAATATGCCCGCAGAATGTATTTTAGTCACCGATTTTTATCGTTTTGGCTTGGACGTGAACTTGGACCCCCCGCAGGTCTGTCGCATCTCCGTGGGATGGGTCAGCGTCCCGGAGGCAATGGACTTGTTGATTTCTGGCTGTGTTTTTCTTGTGCTTCAGCGTAAGCACATAAATAAATATTTAACGAGTAAGGCATTGTCAGACGCAAAGCAGCACACATCGAAGAATCGAGGAATCCTTTCCAGCGGAGTCTCAAGCGGCCAACAAACTCTCAGGCGGACACGTGGCCATTTTGCAGAACTTTGCACTTTGTCCTCCGCACAAGCAAACAGCATGTGGACACTTCACAGGGCCACGCTCGGCCCTTCCCTTGTGGTTTTCTGTGCAGTTGCCCCGTGACCCTGCGGGCAAACAAATTACTACAATTAGGCAACAACAAAAGGAAAGAATGGGCCGTTCGTAGAAGGACTAACATGTGTTCAATGCATGTTTGGGGCAAATTACTCTGCAAATTTCCAGTGAAAGCTTTCTTGAGAGTGTGAAACTGTGAAGTGCAAATTACCCAGTGTCTGAGCTAAGTCAAGGATTTCCAGTGAGCACAAGATAATTGGAAGATTTCGTTAAAATTAAAAGCAGATATGATTTTCCAGTTGCCTGCCTTAATATGCCATAAACTTTATTCCAAAGTTATCCATCCCAGCAGAGCAAAACACTTCTCTGTGAGACTGGGGGGGGGCGTTTGGGTGTTACCCCTGTAAGTATGCAACACTTGAGGCTGAGCACCTTGATGTGGAATTTGTAGAAAATTTGCCAACCCACCACCCACCGACACACTAGATACACACACTTCCGGCTACATTTAGCCAAGTGTTTGACAGCGACGGAGACAGAGACAGACTCACTGGCGTCGCTTAAATCAATTAAGTTTTTCGACAGAAACAACAAATGAACTCGTGTGCGTCGGCAAATGGATGTGGGATGTGATGTGCGATGTGCGATGTGGGAAAATTGGGGAAAAGGAAAATGGAACCCCACCCTGAACCCTAATGCTTGCCAGCCGATTAAGCACTTTACGTGCTGCAGTTAGCGCTTTGCTCTGCTTTGCTCGACTGTCGTGTGTTGATGCTGTGGTCCAAGGCTCGTACATCAAACTAAAACTGTATCCAAACAAACGTCAGGAGAGCAAAACTTTATTATTTGATTGCCCGAGCCTGTCAACACATTGTGGGCCCCCTTAATAAGTGTTCGGCTTTCTTCTCCGCAGGGTGGTGGGGTGGTGTTGGCGGAGATGTGGCGAAGGGGAAAGGAAACTTAAAGTAAGACACGCATGCCATACCGGGCTGCCAGAACTCTTCTAAACTCAATCCCAACATATACTGGCACGGAGCACACTCACACAGTAGCTGCCACACGTGTGCGAAGATGTTTGTGGCCTGTTGTACTTCTCTGTAATATAAAGCATATCCGTCGATGTTCGGACTATAAGACACCCGCCAGGGGAGTTTGGTTTCTTGTGCGCAAGGAAAGGAATACAAGAGCTGGCTGCTAATACTCTCTTCTGCCTGTTGCATACCCGTACACTTATATACCCCTTGTAATCTCCGTGCAATACGGTATACGGACAAGTTGTGGTATTTCTGTTGCTCCTTGTTGCTGCCTGTTTTTATGGGATTCATGCTTTGGCAACGGGTGCTTGCCAGGAGTGCCGCCTCTGTCTGTCTCTCTTCTCTGTGTAACCCGCTTTGAAGAAGCCCCATAAATCGTATCATATTTTGGTGCCGTTTCTCAAATTGAATGTGTGGTGCAGATGAGCATTTTGAAGTGTGCCTCCTGTCTGATGTTATTTGCGTACACTCCCGCCACTTCTTTGCACATTCACGCCCAAAAATGTCTTTCATTACTTTTAAATGAAAAAGTTTGTTCTCGTCAGAAGGGCAGGGCCATAGGCGGTCGATTCATTGGTGATCGAGAGAAGAGAGAGCGAGCCCATGGCCTTGGCCCATAACCTCTCACCAGTACCCCACCGGTACGCTCCACCTCCTATCAATTTGTTCCTAGAGCATTTTCACTGCTGAATTCCAGCGTAAGCTCGACCTCCCTCCCTCCCTCTACTCGCGTCGTTGCTGAACGTTTTTCCATTGTTGTCAAGTTTCGGGATAAGCCGCTTTGAAAAGTTCCAGTAGCCCCAGTGAAAGAGTCTGCTTCAATTATGATTATATTTTCGATTTCTCGACTCATAACAATTCCTGTACGGGCTAAGCCTTTTACATGGAATTTTCCACCTCCCCCACTGTTTGCCCAGAGCTGGCAATTGAAAAAGGATTTTCTTCGCTTCAAGGACTGGTTAATTTGTCTCGGGCCCAATTAGGGTAGAATGCCAATGCCATTAGAAGGCAAACGAGGAATTCAAGCCAGTTGCTTCATCTATTTACAATATGTGCAGTTGCTCTATTAATAAATATATTTCCAGGAAATAAATCCATTATTAAAAGGGGCCCTGTACGTTCTGCACGTCCTGCACGGATGCAAGGGTGTTCGAAGGGCTGAGGCAGGCTATTTCCGGCAATACCGTGTGGGGCGTAGGTTGCACCCTGACCTATATCAATAATTCAGCTATGGACCCCGGCAACGGGAAAGCAATTAAAAACTGTAGGCACGCACATCCTGCCAACTCGGTGGAGTGTTGCCTGCAAATACGAGTATTCGTACTTTCGGGGCCGGGACCCATAAGGCATAAATCACACGAAACCAAAAACACGACGCGTGCCCGCCGTAGGCAAGGAAAGTGCCTCAAAGTTGAGCTGTCAGCACTGCTCGGGGCAAGTCCTGCAGGGTACGGGGGGTGCGGGATTAGGCAGTGTAATTGCAAATTCCACGCCACGCACTCTAGTCCTAAATCAAGCCGAATTCAAGCCATTAATGTGACCGCAATTGCATAAAATTATCACGCACAGCCCACAAGGAGGAAGTCGGCAGCCTGGGAGATCTCCGAGGCAGTTCCGCGATTCCTGAAAGTCGTGTCAATGGCCGCCGTGCCAAATACATGTGTAAGTAACAAAGCGAGCCGAGCCATGGATTGGACGGGGAGTGCAGAGCTATGTGCAACGCTTTCACTTTTTAATTAAATAAATCGTGTGGCTGTGGCTTCGGCTTCGGCTGCCTCTGGCGGCAGTCTGCAAAGTTCAGGTCGGGCCAACGCGAATATTGGCAATGACTTTTGAAAAGCTGCCAAACTTTTTAAGCGTTCGCGGAAACTTTTCAATACTTTGAGCTGCAATTAATTGAACCGCGCTGACTCGGCGTATTCGGGATTCCTTTTGGTTTCGTGATGAGGAGGGGGATTCTCTTGAACGTTGAACCCCAGGCCCCACTTCCATTGTGAGCCATCAACGATTTGACTAAGTACGTAGTAAATATTTTATTGCTGCCACTAAGACACTATTAAATACTAGAGGGCTGAACAAACGCAGTGATTGCGACCGTTGGAAACAAAATGTAAATTCGATCAAAATAAATTTGCGTGCGCACAATCGGAATGGGGAATGTGTGTGGGGGGAAACTCAGAGGTACTGCTCCCAGAGATGCCCTAAAGTTACTCCAAAATATTATCTGAGAGAGAGTAATAGAAGCAAAAGACAATCAGACTTCATCATCATATCCAGGTTTTTGTTTTTCCTTTGGCTCCTATCTCTTGAAAGCTTTTTTCTCCTGCAACGGGACAGGAAAAGTGCAGCAATAATCCTGCATTATAGCTTCTGCCCTACACATGGAAAATCTTCTGAATAGATAATGGAGAGAGTCTTGGCCGTGACTGCCAGTGTAGCCAAACAATGTAGGTTGCCATTTTTTTTACTTATTCCGTATATCTGAAATTCTGCGAATGCGAATAACGCACTAGAAAATTTTAATAAACCTGGAAATCGAATGCTAGGGCCTGGTTCGGGTTACGGTATGGC